TCATTTTTTGTGTGTGTGTTGTTTCTTTTTTTTTTTTTTTAATTTTTTGTTTATTGCAGTAACATTGGTTTATAACATTGTAAAAATTTCAGGTGTACATCATTGTACTTCTATTCCTGCATAGATTACATCATGTTCAGCACCCAAATACTAATTACAACCCAATGCTAGCTGTAGGTTTTTTTGTGGATGTTCATTAACAAGTTGAAGAAGTTCCCTTCTATTCCTAGTTTTCTGTTTTTATCACAAGTGGGTACTGAATTTTATCAAACGCTTTTTCAGCAAATGTATTTTTTTAAAGCTTGCTCTTAGAATTACAATATGCATCCTTAACTTACTACAGTCTGCCTTGAATTAATATTATATCACTTAACATATAATGTAAGAATCTTACAACTGTGTATTTCCATTTACCCCACTCCCATCCTTTGTGCTTTATTGTCATACATTTTACTTTTACGTATGTATAAACTCCAGGATGAAGTCATATTTTTGCTATAAACATTTAGCTGTTTTTAAAGTAAATTAAGAGATGAGGGGGAAAATGTCTTTTATATTTACCCACTGTGATATTGTGATTTGTAATAGAAAATATATATTTGGTCTTCATCCCATTCCTGGCACAGAGCTCCTAAAACCTTTGGAATTTGCTAAGTGATGAGATAGATAAAAAGTGTCTTTTATTATGTTAATGAGGTGACTTTTGGAATGTCTCTAGGTCACCTAAGAATAGGGGCTGGTTGCTAGGGGAACCAACCATGTCCCCAATCCCCCACTCCTTCCACCCTATCCCTACCTGCAAGGAGGGGAGAGGGGCTGGAAATAGTTCAATCACCAATGGCCAATGATTTAATCACCCACGCCCATCTAATGAAGCCTCCTTACAAACTCAAAAGGACAGTATTAGGAGAGCTTAGGGTTGGTGAACACGTGGAGATACCAGAAGAATGACATGCCCAGAGGGCATGGAAGCTCCTCACCTTTTCCCACATACCTTGCCCTATGTATCTCTTCCATCTGGCTGTTCCTGAGTTATATCCTTGTATAATAAACTGGTGATCTAGAAAGTAAAATATTTCTCTGAGTTCTGTGAGCTGCTCTCACAAATTAATCAAACTCAGTGAGGGGGTCCTGGGAACCTCGCATCTATAGCTGTCGTTCAGAAGCACAGATGAACTTTCAATTGGCATCTGAAGTGAGAGTGGGAGGACAGTCTTGTAGGACTGAGCCCTTAACCTGTGGGATCTGACGCTACCGCCAAGTATATATTGTCAGAGTTGAGTTAATTGTTTGGTAGTGTTGGAAAAAACACACATTAGGCCCATATAGTTACCATTTCTGGTGTTCCTTTTTCCTTCTTGAAGATCCAAGTTCCATCTGGTATCATTTCTCTTCCACTCAAAGAACTTGCTTCTTTTACTATTATTTGTAGTGCAGGTCTACTTATAATGAATTCTCTCAGCTCTTGTTTATCTGGAAATGTTTTCATGTCACCTTCGTTTATGAGTGGTGTTTTTACTTGGTGTAAATTCTAGGTTAATAGGTATTTTTTCTTTCTTTATTTTAAAGATGTTCCATTTTCTTCTGGCTTGCTAATGAGAAGTCGTTAGAATTGCTTACTCTTGTTCCCCTGTATGTCCTGTGTCTTTTTTCTCTAGCTGCTTTATTTTTTATTTTTAGCAATTTGATTATGATACCTGCACGTGGTTTCCTTTACATTTATCCTGCTTGGGGTTTATTGAGCTTCTTGAATCTGTGAGTTGATATTTTTCATCAAATTTTGAAACATTTTGGCCATTATTTTTTTGCCCCACACTCTCATCTTCTGGGAATTCAAGTACATATATGTTAGACTGCTTAATGCTGTCCACAGATCACTGAGGTTCTGGTGTTTTCTATTGTTTTGCTTTGTTTTATTTATTTTTTTCTCTATTTCAGTTTTGTGTTTTTCAGATCTAGAGTTTGCATTTGGTTCATTTTTATAGTTTCCATTTCTCTCTGCTGATAGTCCCCATCTAGTCACTCATTATATACATCTTCGTTGGTTGGTTGGCTTTTTAATCTTGAACATATTTATAATAGCTGCTCTAAGGTCCTTGTCTACTAATTCCAGCATCTGTAATATCTCAGCCTGTTTCTCTGGACATTTTGCTTTTTCCCTTGTCTAATAATTTTTTATTGTATACTGCACATTGTAAATGCTACATTATTGATAGTCTAAAATTTGCTGTCTTCCTTTAAAGAGTATTGGTTTTATTCTGGCAGGCAGTTGATTTCCTGGCAGATTAGCTCTCTCCTGTTGAGGCTTGTTCCTGGGATTTGTAAGGGTGGTTCTAAAGCAGCGCTTATTAAAGGGCTAGAGTCTTGAGGCTTAGTGCTTTTGGGTTCTCAACTGAATGCCCGAGATGTTCAGTGAGATCTCTAGCTCATTCAAATCCCCATGTCTCTCAGCCCTGGGAGATCTCCAGCATCTCCTCTCACCTCACAGCCCCCCAGAAGCTGTTCTTTCTCGGGCTTTTGGAACTTCTCCCTGCACATGTGCTAAGGGGGCCCTTTACACACATCTGTTCAGCTCCCTCTTCTCTGATACAAATTCCAGCCACCTTAGCTGTCCTGAACTCCAGTCTCTGCTCTGCCCAGCAAGCCCACTGCTTTCTGTTTTAGACCCACACTTTCCTCTGCCTTATACCCCCAGCAAGAAATCCTGGGTAAATGTGGGGTTCACCACTTTTGTTTCCTTTCTTTCAAGAATAAGTCCTTTGCAGTAGCTTGTTCAGTGCCTGTAAATAGTTATTTCATATATTTTATCCAGTTTTATAATTGTTTATGATAGGAGGGTAAATCCAATACCAACTACTCTGTTAATGCTGAATCTGGATGTTGGCCTTCCTCTGTATCTTGCTTTTAAAATTTAAATTTGAGGGCCGGCCCCGTGGCTTAGCAGTTAAGTGCGCGCGCTCCACTGCTGGCGGCCGGTTGGGATCCCGGGCGCACACTGACGCACCGCTTCTCCGGCCATGCTGAGGCCGCGTCCCACATGCAGCAACTAGAAGGATGTGCAGCTATGATATACAACTATCTACTGGGGCTTTGGGGGAAAAATAAATAAATAAATAATTTAAAATTTAAATTTGAATTGCTATAGATAATTAGTATTCCATTTCCTACTATGTCCAATACATTAAAATTACCTCTGGTCCTTTGTATATCTCTCTTTGCCATCTGTGGATTGTAAAACCAGGACAAATGCAAGCCCTGAAAGAAAAAATTGGAAGAGAAAATACTGTTTGAAATAAAAGGTTACTGAATGGGAAATCTGTCTTGTAAGAGTAATAGGCCAAATGCACAGTAGAAATTAGGCTTTAAAAGAATTTGGGGAATATCTTGCAAATGTAATAACTTAGAGTTCTTTGCATTAAAGAAGATTTCTGAGAAGGTATAGAAAATGATTTTAAAAACATTAAAGAGATAAAATAGATTTTCACAAATATTGTAGACTTTTTAAAACCTTTGAATAGTAAGAAGCAAAGTTAAAATTCATTCATTTGCTTTTTAAACTTTGCTTTTTCACAAATAATATATGTGCTTGGTGGAAAAGCAAAGGTAAAGGGAAAAAAGAAAATAAAAATGAATAGATACTTTCTTATTTATCACTTTTATAAATGGCAGTAGCACAAAGAACCCCCTATTTTCCCAGATGTTGCAAAACTGCAAAGGGGCAGGATGTTGTAGAGAAAGAGCTCTTGGATCTGGGGCTAGCTCTGGTGCTTGTTGATTAGGCAAGTCATGCTGTTCCTCCTTGCTGCCATCTCCTTCTCTGCTCACAGCTGTCTGCTTCCCAAAACTGCTATGACTAGCAGACCTGGCAAGGACTCCCAAACAAACCTTCAGGCAGTCCAGAGATGTACCCTGTGCATCTGAGATTCATAACATTTTTTTGGAAGCTGACATTGCTTTTAGAACAGTGAGTTTGATCCACCTTCCTGAAGCAAAGCTGCAGTTTTATAGCTTGCCTGCTCTAAGGTGCTGAATGGGCTCCAGCCCACCCTTGCTGATCAAGCCCTGCACTGGGTAGAGTGACAAAGTCAGAGGCGAGAGTCCCTCTGGGACTATCAAGTCCTAGACTTGAAATTTAAGAAGCTACAATGTCACAGCTGTGTATTTTTTACTTCTTTGTTTTTGCTCATGTTTTTCGCTCCATTGAAATGCCTCCTGCCTTGAGCCTTCCTCCTAAACCACTAGTGGCCTCTTCCTCCATGAGAAGGCCACTTCCAGTTCCCTGACCAAATGTGCTCTCTTCCTTGTATCCCTAGAGCACCACAGGTACCTCGCATGCATGTACCATTGCCCTGCACTTTATTTAAATTCCCATTGCATACCTCTTACCCCTGTTGAACTATCAGCTTTTTGAGAGCAAAACCCTCTCTTATTTATCTTAATATTCTTTGCTATGCCAAACAGTATCTTGGCACATTTTGGACATTCAGAAATATTTATTCTCAGTATTAATTCTCTTAGTTACGCTATGACGTAATTCTTTCTAATGGGTCCTAAACTTGTCTTTTTCAAATGTCAATGACTTTTCCCTCCTCTGGCAGTTGTTAATTCAGGAACAAATCCATTCTGCCCTGTCCACAAGCTTTGTGATTTTGTAGGCCTCCATTGTATTCCTTCTTAGCCGTCTCTTTTTTTTTTTTTTTTAATTTATTTTTTCCCCCAAAGCCCCAGTAGATAGTTGTATGTCATAGTTGCACATCCTTCCAGTTGCTGTATGTGGGACTCAGCCTCAGCATGGCGGGAGAAGCACTGGGTCTGTGCGTGCCCGGGATCCGAACCCGGGTCGCCAGCATCAGAGCGCACGCACTTAACCGCTAAGCCACGGGACCGGCCCTAGCCGTCTCTGTTAGAGCAAATGTTAGAGCAGTCAGGCGGAATTGTGGTATATAGTCCTTGAAATAATAGTTATGCTGGTTAACTCCTTCCTCCTCTTCTCCACACAGAGAGATGTTCTTTACTACCATGGAAAGCCACCTGCTGCGCTGCAAAGTGTTGGAAATCATATTCCTCCACAGCTGCGAGACACCCACCCGCCTGCCCTTGTCTCTGGCCCAGGCCCTCTATTTTCTGAACAATTCTACATCACTGCTCAAGTGTCAGGTACGTTTTTCCCTGCTTCAGTTCCAGGCCTAGAAAACCTTTCCCCTAATCCTTGAGCATTATGTAAAAGTGACTTGAAAACTTCACAAAATCTTTAATTGAGGAAGGCATTTATTGCCAATTGCTTTTACTATCTCCGCAGTCGGATAAAACCCAGTGGCAGACATGGGATGAGCTGGTTGAGCATCTGCAGTTTCTGTTATCCAGTTATCAACATGTTTTAAGAGGTAAGAAGCATTGATTCACAAATAAGATGGTGCGAGAGGCTCACAGTGGACATTATTATGAATTAAGGTTACCTAGGGGATTCTAATTTGCTAGCTTCCATAAAGCATTGTTCCTTGGTCGTAGCCATAGGCACAAGGAGTGACATAGGTGGAATCACTGCTATGAAATAGAAGAAGTCACATATTTTTGTTATGGTGCATAATACAGTGGTCCTCACAGTTATTAGTTGTGTAGGTAAGCAAAAGTCATCATAACTTGAGAAGTCTTTGGTAATGACCTGATTTAGCCCTGGCATCTTTTCCTGGCCCATCACTGCAACGTCATTGGTGGGTCGATTGCTCACTGACTATGGACATTATAAACATCCATCAGTATGATGCAAATACAGAGCAAATCAGTGGCTAGTTGAAAGTGTACTCTTGCAAAAGATATAAGGACACCCTAAAGTCTGTGAAAGTGGCTTTCCTCAAGTCACAGGCGAAACCAATGATCAATGAGGATCCAGGGGAGTTAGACTAATTAACACTCAGGAGGCGAATATTGGCAAGGATAATGATGGAATAGTTGCTTCAAATGAGAATGAGTTTATTAGCCAAGGATTAATGAAGCCATTAGGAAAACTGATTTATTAATTACAAAGGGAAAAGTAGTAACTTAAGAGGGGGGAAAACTGGCATTCCTCTTGATGTGATGCTATTCAGAAGGACACCTCATCACTTATGTAGTGTTTTTGCCCAAAATTCATAACCTGAATCTAATCACAAGGAAGCATCAGACAAACTCAGATTTAGGGACCTTTTACAGAATACTTTTTTGGCCTGTACTCTTCAAAAAGTGCCAGTGTCTTAAAAACAAAGAAAGACTAAGGAACTGTTCCAGATTAAAAAGAAACTAAAGCAAATAAATACTAAATGCAAAACATCGTCCTGGATTGGATCCTGAACCAGGAAAAAATAGGCTGTGAAGTACATTACAGGGACAATTGGTGAAATTTAAATAGATTTGATAATAGTATTATATTACTATTAAATTTCCTATTTTTGATAATTATCCTGGCTTATGAAAGTAAACGTCGTTGGTCTTAGGAAATCCATACTAAAGTATGAGGTGGAGGGGCACAATGTCGGCAACTTGTTCTCAAACAGTAAGGGGGGACGTGTGTGTATATCTTACCTGCCGTGATCACGTTGAGGTTGCCTGTAGCTCAGTAATGGCACTTGGGAAGGTAAGATAGCCCATGCACCCTCTCGGGCCTGGAACTGAGGAAACATTTAAAAAAAGCACTGGATTTAAGGCAGAAGGTTTGAGTTTAAATCCCAACTCCACCACTTACTCTGTGTTGGGCAGCTAACTTTATGTCTCTAGACCTCAGTTTTTCCCTTCTGTAGAATGGGGATGCTAATACATAACTTGCCAGGACTGATTACTAATGGGTGTGAGAAGAAAGTAGTAAGTGCTCAGTCAATGTTAGTTGAATCTCAGTCTGCCTATTTGCCTAGCCAGGAGTAGGCTGCAAGGGACTTCTCTAGGTTTCAGGCTATTGTAACCAAAACGTAAAAGAGCACATTGTCACAGCCACGATGTGTGGTTGTGTAGTTTGTGCATTTTTTAGCACCCTCAAAGAAAGATACGTGTCCTTCTCAGAACAAAGCCCCAAAGGCAAATTCTGTGTGTCTTTAGCCTCATTGAGGTTTATGTAATTGTTTCTTTGAGAGATCTAGCAGAAAGATTAATATTAAAGCAGCTTGTTTTTTTTTTTAAGTTTACCTTTAACACTTCTTGATCATTTCTGTTTTGCCTCCCAGGGAATAAACCTGGGTCATGGGCAATAGTGACTTAAGATGGACATGGGATCCACTTTTATTACAGAATATTCTTATGCTTTGAATAAGGGAGAGGAAGGCCTCAGACCAGTGTACGTAAATCAACCAAGAAGAAATGGGGTGTGTTCCCATGCTATTTTATCCTTAACATCCTCCCCAGCTTCTTTGGAGACCAAGAGTTAAAAAGAAGAAAACATATTTGGAACCAGTAGTTTGAAAGCAGTGTTCTACAAAGAACACAACCGAACAGTACCCTGAAATGGCCAGTGTCCTTGTCAGTAGGCATTTCACTGTGAGGGCTCTTTAGTCATCTCCGCCCTCTTCAGGTGGTCTGAGGATGATGTTGAGGGCATTTTGAGGTCAGCCTGAGTTGTCCAGCTCCACAGGTGGGGGAAGAGGAGAAGAGGTTGGGGAGCCCCACCTTGCCCTTTGTCTAGGGGAACCTCTTAGTGTGAAGGAAGAGGGGAAGGAAGACTGTGTAAATTCACATACACCGACTTATGAAATCCAATAACCTTGTGAAGGTGAGTATCATCCCCCTTTTACAGATTGGAAGACAAAGGCTGAGAGAAAAGTAAATGCAGAGCCAGGATTCAAACTTAGGTCTGTTGCCGAAGTCTGGGCACTGAAAACACTCTGGAAGGAATTACTTGTCTATGAAATCACTGGGTGAGATTAGAAGGTGAGATTCTAAGGAATTTCCAACCCTCCATTTTCTAAACTCTCTAAACAGGATTAACTTACTTTTGTATAGACCCTTGACCTTGGGGAGAAGTATGTCCTGAATCCTTACATTTTGCAAACGTTTCCATAGAGGGCAGAGCATCCACACTGAGATGAGGATGCTGGGCTGTCAGTTGAGCTTACAATCTCTGGCTGAGAGAATCACCCTCCACACCCCAGTTTCATAGCCATACAACTTAAGTTTGAGCCTCAGCAGAATTACAAATTGTCATATGCCGTGAGTTTTCCTGATGCTTGTGAATAGTTAGAACCTCATATTTTGAAATTATGAATTCTAGGAATTTAAACACATAATATTTAAATGAACAAAATGTGTGCTTTTCCTGAATTCCACTCTACTGGACAGTTTAGGCAGGACGGCTTGTGGAAGTCAGACACCAGTTCACTCCGAGGAGAGTCACATACACAGCCTTCCTGCAAGGAGCCCTGTCCACAGAGGGGAGAAAAGCAGACGCAGGCAAGATCAGTTCAACTCTTACATTCATCCAGGCAACAAATGTTTACCGACGGCCTTCGCTGAGCCTGGCTCATTGGGAAAACTTCAGTGAAGAAGACCACTGTGGCCCCTGCCCTCAGAGAGCTTGCAGTCTAGTGAAGAGATAGACCCTAAACAAATAATCACACAAGTAACATGTAATTACAATTAAAATAAGTGCTATGGAGGAAAGTACAAGTGCACAAAATAGGAGGACCTAATCTGTTTTTGGAGGGACCCAGGAAGGCCTCCCTGAAGAGGTGATACTTCAGCTGAGATAAGAAGTACTCATGTTAGCCAGGCAAAGAGGGAGGGCAAAGCTTTCCAGAAAGAAGAAGCAGCGTCCAAGGGCCTTGAGGCAAGAAATTTCTTAGTGAGTCCAAGGAACAAAGAACAAACTAGTAGGACTGGGATGTAATGAGCAAGGGAGACTAGACCAGATGAGAGTAGAATAGTAGATAGGGCAGGGTGTGAAGAGCCTTTGGGCCATGTTAAGGAATTGCAACTTGATTCCAAGTGAAGGGAAGCCATCAAAGTGTTTTTAAGTAAGGTCACTCTCCCTGAGGTGTGGGGAATAGTTTGGCGAGGAGCAGAGAGGTCGGGGAGGGGTAGTGGTGATGGGGTGCGGGTGGTGCAGCAGGGAAGGCAGTGGAGATCAGGTTGACAGGGCTTGGGAGACTGAGTCTGAAGGATGACTCCAGGCTCTGCCATTACTGATGTGGAGATAAACGGAGGGAAAGATCAGCAGAGAAGTTAGCAAGCTCACTGTGACTGTTAGATTGGAGATTCCTATCATGATGACGGCGATAACAATAGCTATCCCTGGTATTGATCCAGGGACTAATTATAACAATACTGTCAGCCAAATATCTTGAGCCAGGCATTGTGCTAAACCCTTCACATGAGTCGCCTCACACAATAAGCACAATAAGAGCTCTCATCCCTACCAAAGCATAAAATCCAAGGCCTTGCCAACTGTACCAGAAGGGCTGAAGTCCACAGGCCAAGATTCCTCCCCCTTGGACAGTGCTTGGATGGGCACTGCTAACATTTGCTTCTGTGAATTCCCTGTATTATTTTAATAAACTCCAGATTCTTCTCACACCCACCCCAAGTCTTCCCACCCCAAGGCACATGCCTTTTTTAAGAAAATCAAATTCTACTAAAGGCTTTTTTCCCCCTATGACCATTCTCCACTAGAAGCAGAATGAAATAGAGCACATTTCCCAGCTTAAAACCCTCCAGATACTACCCTTTGCTCTCACAGGCCAAACTCCACGTTGTTCTGTGGCCTAGCCTGCCTTCCAGAACCAGTTCTGCTCTCCCTCTCACCACCAGATTTTACCTCTAGTTCTCAAAACAAACCTCGGGGCATTTGCACTTGCTCTTCTCTCTCCCTGGAGTGCTTTTCCCCTAGACCTTCTCATCCTTCAGGCCTCAGCTAAGAGTCCCTCCCTGACTAGAATGGGCTGCTTCCCTCATTCCCCCAGTGTTAGTTACTCTTTCTCACAGCATCCAGTTGGTTTCTTTGATTGCACTCACCAAAACTGTAATTGTTTTTGTTGGCTTGTTTACTGTCAGGCTTCCTGCAACTAGAATGTCAGTTCGTGAGGGCTGGGCCAAGTCTCTGATCTCACTGTATCCCCAGAGTCTAGCGTAGTCCAGATACACATTAGGTGCTCACTGTAAGTTTTTGTTGATTGAATGTTGAAAGGGGCCTGCAATGACATCTCAGGGCAGCTTTGCTTCTTGTGTTTCCAGACTTTTTTGGACACTCTGTAGTGTATTTATACTTTTTTTCAGATTACAGATAGGCCCATTGCTAGAAATTTAGGACATTACCTGAAAAGATATCTGAAGGTTGAGGAAAAACATATTGAGCATATTATTTGAAAAATAACCTAATGTACTGCTTACAAATGTTTATTCTGTTTCCCAAACATCTGGAAACCATGTAGCTCAATCCTTCTCATAACCCTGTTAATGAGGGTGCCACTACCCCAATTTTCTAAATGAGGACATTGAGAAAACGGTGCTGTAGTTGCTCTGGTGCTTCTGGGAGTCGTCAAGTCCTCAGAGCTCTCGTCAGCCCATTTGCCTCGTATGTGACCTTGTGCTCCTTTGTCTCAATCCCACACACTTCCAGAACCCTATAGCGGCTGATCTGTTGATTTGGGAGGAGAAGCCTTCTTAACTTCTTTTTCTTTTCCCCATTATTTTTATTTCTGGACCTACAGAAAAGTTTAAAGATTAGTACAGTGAACACCCATATGCCCTTTATCTTGATTCACCAGCTGTTGACACTTTGCCACATTTGGTTTATCTATTGACTGATCTATACTCTTTTTTTTTTTTTTTTTTTTTTCTGAACCAGTTGAGAGTAAGTTGCGCCATCATATTTTTTCATGCTTAAATACTTCAGCCTAGGAATAAGGATATTCTCCTACATATATTCCTTGTCACACTCAGCAAACTTATCCTTGATAGAATATTATCTAATATGTCCCAATAATATCCTTTATAGGTGGCTGGTTTTGTTTTGAGCCAGGATCCAGTCAAATATAATACCTTGTACTTGGTTGTTATGCTCTGTGTTCTCCTTTAATCTAACACAGCTCCCAGCCTTTACTTGTCTTTCATAATATGGACATTTTGATTTCATCCTAAATACTATTAACAAGAACACTGAATAGATGAAGATGTACACCCCTTCCTAGTGCATGACATCAAGACGCAATAAAGTCGGTTTGGTCCCATTATTGATAACGTTCAGTTTGATCATTTGGTTAATGTAGTGTCGATAAGATTTCTCCATTGTTCTCTTTGACATTAGTAAGTACAGATCTTCTTCGACTTACGATGGGGCTATGTCTCGATAAACCCATCATAAGTTGAAAATATCATAAGTTGAAAATGCATTTAGTACCCCTACCCTACCAAACATGATAGCTTAGCCTAGCCCACCTTAAACGTGCTCAGAACTCTTACATTTTAGCCTGCACTTGGGCAAAATCATCTAACACAATGCCTATTTTATAATAAAGTATTGAGTATCTCATGTAATTTATTGAATACTGTAGTGAAAGTGAAACACAGTGGTTGTCTGGGTACAGAATGGGTGTAAGGGTATCATTTGTTTACCCTCATGATTGCGGGGCTGACTGGAAGCTGCGGTTCACTGCTGCTGTCCAGCTTCATGAGAGAATATCGTACCGCATATGGTTAGCCCAGGAAAAGATCAAAATTCAAAAGGTACAGTTTGTACTGAATGCATCTTATACACACCATCATAAAGTGGAAAAATCATAAATTGAACCATTGTTGAGTCGAGGACCATTTGTAATCCAGAGGGTAGAACTTTGAGACTGTGAATCTGTTCAGTCTTTTGGTCAATGGTTTTAGCATCCATTGATGGTTCTTACCTGAATCCATTATTATATTAGTAAGTTGAAAAGTGCTTACTGTCTAGTTCTGCATTCCTTCTATTTTTCTTAAGTGGCCTTCTTCTAGAAAAAGGGAGGCCTTCTCCCTCCCCTCTTTTTTTATCACTATGGACTCAGATCATGTGTTATAATCCATTTTTGTCATTTTTTTATGATCACGTCTAAAATGTGGCCAACAGGAGCCCCCTTCAAGCTGGCTTCTTTGTCCTTTTGACATGTCCCATCAGTTTTTCAATATTCCCTTACTTGTGAAAGATGTTCTAGGTTCACCTTGTAATTTCCTTGCCAAGGTCCTAGAATCAGCCTTTTCTCCAAAAAAATTGTTTTGTTTTTTTTAGTGGGGAATGGTATTTAGAAACCAAGATCTGGGTGTTGAGTATGCTGATTGCTACTGAGGTGTCTGCTTCTAGGCCCTTTCTGACAACAGAGCTAGTAAATTATATAATTTTTTTAAAATACAAGTTCATGCTGATACCTCAATTTCCACTCCCACAGAATTCTTCCTCTCCTCCTATTCCACAACTGAATCTCTCTTCTCCCACAGTGAGAACTATTGTTTTGAACAACTTGAATGTATTTATTCATTTGGTCTATCCTACAATATATGCAAAATTTTTTTTTTTAAAACAGAATTACTACAGTAAACCAATACCACAACAAACTTACTAAGTTCAATATTTCTTTGCAATTCTTTTCCTACTTGGGATAAATCTCCCTGAAGATATTCAAAATTCACATGAATATTTCTCAAGTGGTTATATTAATTTTAAATATAGTTTCATTGTTTAATATGGGTTTATTGTTTAAATCAACAAAGGGAAAAAATAAAACAGAATACAGATTTTCTTTTTAATGTGTAAAACGTGAGGACCAGAGAGAACCAACACCAAAGGACCTTTTGGAAATGGAGTTACCACAGATACTCAGGCGGCCTTTGATTTGTATCCCAGTCACTAGTCAACAAGTCTTTGCCCAGACCCCACCTACTAAAATCAGACTTCATCTTAAATCATAAAGGAATAAAAAGGAGTTCAGAACAGTTCAACTGACTTTTTCTCTCTTGCAGAGCACTTACGGAGTTCAGTGATTGATAGGAAAGACTTAATAATCAAAAGGATTAAGCCCAAGCCCCAGCAAGGAGATGACATCACAGTGGTAGACGTGGAGAAACAGATTGAGGCCTTCCGCGGCCGCCTGATCCAGATGCTGGGGGAGCCACTGGTCCCGCAGCTCCAGGACAAAGTGCACTTGTTGAAGCTCCTGCTCTTCTATACCGCAGACCTGAACCCCGACGCAGAGCCCTCTCCTGAGAACTGGAGCAGCCCCTGAGGTCCTCCTAAGCACTGAACACCAAGAATACCTCCTGAACTCTATCTCCAACTACTTGGAAGTTGTAAAAGTATGAAAAGTAGTTAAAAACCTTACAGGACCAAACCTATCTTATTTATCTGCAGGTTATGCTAACTTTCTCTTTAGTAAATACCTTTTTTTGATAATCCTAGCCTAGCCTATTCTCAAATATGGCTTACTATACAAGGTGTATATATTTTTTAATAAATTATTTATCTATACTTTTTTTGAAAAGGTAATACTATATGCACTATATGTTTAACAGTTCTATTCAAGATGTGAAAAAACCCCTCTGCTGAACAAATCCTAGACATCAATGTTACGTCATTCAAGGTACGGACAACCTGTTTCGAAAGAGAAAGATCCGTTTCTCCCTAATGGAACACAAACATCCTATATTAGACCTTTTATATTGCCTATAAATTTGACTTTGTGGCCAGTCTATTAAGATCTAATGTAATGTGGGGGGCTAGAAACAAAAAGGATTGAGTGTGTTACAAAAAATTTGATGTTAAAAGCAATCAATCAATAAAAAGGCAATGGTTTTTCAAAATACCAAGTTTACCATGCTTAAGTTCCATGACTGAGTAGGCAGAATGGAATAACTGCTCTTAACAGGACAAAAAAACAGCTATGCACATTTGAGAAAGCAGTAAGGATTTTTATTGTCAAAACAAGAGATACAAGCATAACAGAAGACATAAATAAATTAATTGTTCTGGTCATTTTAGACTCCAGGTCCTCTCTGGAAAGGTCAGCTCAGCTCCTAATGTAGACACAATCCTGTCCAAAGCCAAAGACAGCAGGAATGTAAGACAGTGTTCAAGACAACAACTGAACGTGTACAGTGAGGAGAAGTGACACGGTGGCTTCCCGAGTTCGTTTCCTCAGTAAAGTTAAGTTTATATGATGGTAGGAGGCTCATTTTAGGGAAAAATGATTGCATACAGAACATTTTTTTAATTCTTCCACCTCCCAGAAAAAAGTTTCAGGTCCTGGCCTGAACAAGGAAATCAAAATAGGGTGACGTTAGTTTCACACGAACCTCAACGCTATAATCTAACTGTAGTTACCACCTTCTTTACTTGAAAAAAGTTTAACATCCATTTATCCATACCAAACCAGTAGACTGAATTTTCTCCCATAGGAAGTTTTCAACCAAATTGGAGTTAAATTAATCTCACTTTAAAGTGCAACAAAAGATATGCAATACTAGTGTTTGTTCTGTGACCCATAAAAGAGAAGCATCTCTCCAACAGCATGGCCCAGGGGTACTACAGTCAGAACTGGTTGCAGGACGAGTGACCCAGCAGGTCTGCCAAGAAGCAGACTCCAGCTTCATTGCAGGAGGAGGGGTCCCTACCAAGTCTGGCTTTTAACTATACCTGATCTCAAACAGACCTTAGGTCTCCCTCACTGACAAGGCTGGAGCACCCCATACCAGCACAGTCAAGAGGGCCCAAGTTGTCTAAACTAGTCAGTGAACACCTCTACTCCATGACTTGTGCATGCTCAGGGTGATAGCGGTAAGGGAATCAAGAAGCCTCAGTTTTGGAACAACACAAACATTACCTAGTAAGCAATGATCAAAGTTCTTGTCTAGGGTAAATGATACAAAAATAGGTAATGAGGTCCCCCATACATCACTGCTGAGATTATTTAGTCTAACTTTAAAGCAATACAAAATGGCTTCTTCCACACAAGGACAAGCTTTGCACTAATGTTTCTCAAAAACCAATTATATCTCCAGCTCTAGCCTCAGTTTAAGAGTTTAAAAAAAAAAACAAAAAACACCTTTCCTATGTCAGAGCCAAGGTAAAAGGGGAACTGAGCACAAGACACCCCCTATCCAGAGTCCCTGGAATAGAAATAGCTCTAGAAGCCAGTGGGCGTGAGCACATTCAAGTCACGGGGTTTGAGATTATGGGTCCGTGGCGGTTGTTTCTTCCCTTCTATCACTGGGAGGTCCATCTTGGGTGGCTTGAAGGTTGCTGGATCTTCGGCCATTCGGGTGGCCTGCGCATGGATCAGTTCCATTGGAGAAGGCTTCTGGACTCCTCTGTAGGCCTGGGTGGCAAATCCTCCTACAGAAGTAAACCACAGAGCAAATGATTTCAGAATTAATAGGCAGTTCTCAATATACATGGCAAAATGCCTGCCACACTGCTTTCTTTTTCGAAGGAGCTGCCTTACCCAAATCAGACTTCTGGAGGGATCTTGGTCCAAAGAGGCTCCATTTATCTGCCAGGATTCTGTCTTTATCCCCGCTTCCAGAATCCATGGTGCTAAGATTTGGGCCAGGTAAGGCTGTGGAAGAACCAGAAGTGAACCAGCCTCTGGAAGAGAAAGAATAAAACATATCCTAATAATAACCTCTTCCTATACCTCTAGAAGTGTCTCACACCAAGACTAGGAACTGTCAACTCCCCCTTCTCACTCTGAGACCACAGGCTTAAATCTCAGTTTTGCATGCAGCACTAGCCTTTCTTGGGCACGCTGCTGCTCAGAAGAATCACAGGGGGGCTCACCTGGTCTTCTGCTTAGGGGAGGAGTGAGGGGTGCTGCCTGGGGTGGACTGGGCGGAAGCTGGCTGCTTCTCTTCTCTTGCTATCTCTCCACTCTGTAGCTTTAGTTTCTGTTCAAATGGGTAAGAAGAAAGACTTGTTAAAAATTAGAGCAAATACAAAACAACCACAAAACAGCTAACTTTGGATATAAACAACCTGGTTCACACTACAGGCAAAAGGAAAACATTAATAGGTGGAATAATTTTGGATTATAGTACAGATATTCCTTTGATTTTACCATACTAGATAGAATTCCATCTTTTAAAAAAAGGTACTTATTCTACAGTATATCTCAAACACCGCTGTACTAAATATACCACACTAGAAGCTGCTGATGCTCTCCCACATGCGCCCAGCCAGTAAGTGAAAGAGCCAGACCCCAAGCTGCAGGCCTCCTCGGCCTTCTGAGTAGGGCCTTGAACTCCTCTCACTGCCTCTCCTACCACATACAACCCCTGCCATTCCCAGTCTCTCAAAGCCAACACTCAGGCATGCTACTCCTCTCCAGCTGAAGGCTTCCTCTGTGGAGCCTGTCCCCTTCTCTCCCTTTTCCCTCCCATAACCAGTCACTCTGGGCTCCCTCAGCATTGTAAACGTACCTCTAACATACAGACTAGCAATCTAGCAGGGGAGAGAGAAATCTGCTTCTCAGTTCCTAGATCAAGGCTCCCATACTATCTCTGTGCTCCGTGTCTGGTATGCCAATGCTTAGCCCAAGCTAAATTATACACAATTAATAAAATGACCATGTCTGAATTTTCTCAAACACTCAACATATCAACTTATGTAAGCTGGCATTTCAGCCATCCTCATGTTCTATTCCTGTGGCCAAGATGCAGAAAATGGGCCAAAGTCAATTCTACCATTATAGAGAGTGAACTGCTCAACTGGAACTCTGACTGACATCTATCCTGGAAAGTTCTCAGTGTCAAAGACTGACAGTGCCCCTCTCCAGAAGCATCTATCTTGTCTGAGAGCTTAAACAGGCCACCAACCCAACCCTGATCCCCCCCAGCAGTGGTTTTTAAAATTGCAAAAATTGCTATTTAAAATTGCAAAAAAAAACTTTTGCAAAAATCATCTGGGATGCTCATTATAAAATGCAACAGTCCACAGTGTCTTATATGCCTACCCACAGGTCACCAGATCCACATTATTCCTCCTTCCATATATTGTATATCATGATCCTTCTTATGAGGCCCTTCAGGAGCCAGAGTCTCAGACAACTTTGGAAGATGGGGGAGAAAACCAACAGGGAGTAGGGCATCAGGAGCCTTGAGTTCAGGTACTGTGACTGGTTAAATATATGACCTTGGACCTCAGCCTCTTGATTTATAAAACACAGAGGATAGTATCTACCTCAAAAGATTAACACGAAGATTAAGTGAATGTGAGTGCGTCATAAATCATAACGCACTATTAAGTAGAAACAGGTATTCCTTGAAAGAAAGTCATTTGAAACTATTTTATTCATCCAACTATTTGGTCATCATTAACTTCACCAAAAATTACTCTTCATTCATTCCAATTTTAGAAATGAAAGAACAAAAACTCTCTAATTCTACATTTGCTTTTAATTTTATTTATTTTTTTTTCCCCCAAAGCCCCAGTAGATAGTTGTATGTCATAGCTGCACATCCTTCTAGTTGCTATACGTGGGACACGGCCTCAGCATGGCCAGAGAACCGGTGCGTCACTGCGCGCCCGGGATCCGAACCCGGGCCGCCAGGAGCGGAGTGCACGCACTTAACCACTAAGCCAGGGGACTGGCCCTACATTTGCTTTTAATTTTTTAAAAAATTAAATATAGAGCATGACGTTCCTTTCCAGCTAAAGTGTTACCTCTGTTGAGCTTGCCCCATTCTCTCTCCGAGTCGATCACTCTGGTACACAAAGTGATCCACATTGGCTTTACTGTTCGCACCGTGCTCACACATATCACATGCTCAGAGTCTCATCTGACACTCCTAATCAGAAGTAAGCAGAACAGATCCTCCCACTTTATAGACAGAGAAGCAGAAACAACGACACAAAGAGCTCCGGAGCTTTCAGCGACAAAGTGCCACAACAGCTGGCACCAAACCAGTTCTAAATCCCTCACCCAGTTCTCTTTCCACCACTCTCCACAAGCCCCAACGAGCTGAGCTGGTAACTTCTAAACCACAGCCGCATCTCAAGCTATGAATGATGAGGGTTTCGTTTTTTTTAAGTTCCTAAGAAACAAGCTTACGTGGAGTGCTTCTGCCACTCGAAGGTACTTGGTCTCCTCAGTGGTCAGGCCCTTGTGGGGTGTGTAGCCAGCATCTGTCAGCCCTGCCTGTTGCTCAAAACGCTGAATGCTCTCCTGGGTCTGTTCTGGGAACAGAGGAGATGACAGTCATGCCCATCCCCCTCTCCCATCACAAACAGGGAGATCAACACGGATATCCACTGTTCTCCCCAGAAGCAAGAGACCACGATGACCATCCAAGGAGGAGGTTCTCCCAGACAGGCATCATAGCAGGGATTCTGAACCCCACACAAAGGTTCTCTAACCAGAAGGAAGCCTTCTCTCACACCAAGCTAAGGAATGGTTACTCCTCAAGGGATAGCCGGACAGCTTCCAGGGGAACACTCCATACCTTCCTCTTCTTTGTATACTGTGACATTTTCTTTGCATTTAGAAATGTAACATGGAGAAGGCAGCTGACGTTAAGAAACAGTGCAAGTTCTCCAAAGATCAAGTTTCCTCAGAGACTCACTACCCTCATTACCCACACAGAGACCATCACCAAAGAGAAACGGGCCACATTTAGGCTGGATGGCACCAAGGTATCAATTAGATCCAAACCATAGAGAGTGTGCCTTGAACTGGCCAAGCTCTACTGATCCAATGTTTCTCGTGTGTGAAACTGCCTATCCCAGTGCCTGGCACAGCAGACAGACTCAATGTTAGGTCACACTGACCTGATTGTCTCATAATTAATAAGTCAGTTATACCTTGAATGATAGCTGAATTTTTGCTTAATCTGTACATACACTACATAATATACCCCTAGTACAGGAATGTGGCAGCTGTGGACCAAGTCTAGACACCAGATGTCCTTTAGGACACTCATTCCCCTTCTAAGGAATTATTTTATTTCCATCAGAAATAAAAGCAATTAGGAAAAAAAAAAAACTAAATGCATAAAGATGTTTTCCAATCTTACCAGGTAGTCACCTGAAAATTTAAAAAGTGAGAAAGGATTTAATGAATTATGCTACACCAATACCAAGATTTTAAATGCAGCTAGTTTTTTTTAATTTAAGACTATAGCAACATCAAAAGTTCACTACAGTATTGATTGAAAAAATAGAATGGCTTGTCTACTACATCTGCAATTATATAAAAACATGCATATATGTGGAAGTGACTAAGCCAAATAAGTATCTGAGTGACAGGAGAATGTTGGGGTGTTATAATGTTCTGTACTGTTGGTAACCTGTATTTTCAATAAAGAAGTTATACTGTGCTAAAAGAACAATGACTACACTTTCTAACACTGCCAGAACACATTCTCAAGCTTGCAAAATACAAGTAGTAGTTGCTGATTCAAATGGTGCATTTATGTGTGAATAAGAGAAAGTCCGAGTAAGAGTATGGACTTTTGGTTCTTGGGTGAATTGTCCAGGAATTGCCCAAGACAAACTGATGCCCTCCCAGAGCAGATAAACAAAGGCATCCAACTTCATATTGAGCCAACCAAGGAGAACCTCTATGTGCCCTGCCCCTGGCAGAGGCTGCCACTAACAAGTAGAGCTGTGTATCTAATAATTGTTAACTTCCCACAGCAACTACAAGGGCCCTCCAGAACCACTAAGTTTAGTTAACTTATAAGGGTTTTTAGAAAAAAATGCAAGCTCTCTTGTTTCCGGTCTCATAAGGACCACAAATCACACACTCTTAAGACTAAAGATGCATGAGGCACCAAACTTGCCTCAATGTCCAGGAAGAAGAACAACTTTGAGCCATTTACTTTTTTTTTTTTTCTCCTTTTCTTTCTGTGAGGAAGATCAGCCCTAAGCTAACATCCAATGCCAATCCTCCTCTTTCTGCTGAGGAAGACTGGCCCTGGGCTACCATCTGTGCCTATCTTCCTCTACTTTATATGGGACGCTGCCCTAGCATGGCTTGACAAGCCATGCATCCATGTGCGCCCGAGATCCGAACCTGCAAACCCCGAGCAGCTGAAGCGGAGCGTATGCACTTAACTGCTACGCCACCGGGCCGGCCCAGAGCCATTTACTTTTAAAAAAAAAAAGTGCAGGGCAGGTGTGAGATGCCTCAGTTTGTCAACCTCTTCAGCAGAGCTTGAGACAGGAACAGCAGCAGCTCCCAGCCACCGAGCACTGGGGCCATCTATTCCTCCCCTCTACCTGCCAGCCCGATTCCTCACTTCATGAAGAGGGCAAGAGTCTCAACAGTTCCATAACTTGCCCAAGGCCACACTGGTGGATATGGGAAAATACGATTGTACAACAAAGCAGAGTATACCTATACCAACTGAGATGCTGAATATCTGACAAATCTTCCACCTAAATGGAGCTTCAACACTGGTGACTCAGCAGCCAAGCTGACATCTGCCAGGCATGGTCGCAACATGCCAAGGCAGGCGTGTTTGCAGAACCCCCTGCAGATGGATTGTAAGAAATCTAAGCCTTCCCCCCCTACTTCACTCTATTCTGAGGGTGCAGAGTGCTTACTTGTGATCAGAGAATTCATGATGACACGAGTAGCTTTAGCCTTCACCACAGGGACCTTGTCCATACTGTCAATGGCCGGTGACAGGGTCATGGCAGGGGAGGAAACACTGGCCTCTCCTTCCTCCACCTGTTCAAGAGAGGTAAGGAGGCACTTGAGCAGGGCAGGGAAGTCACACACCTAAACTTACTCATTTAAGGAAGAAGTTACTGAAATACCTTTATCTGACACATGAGGAAATATGTGAAGGGGGCTGGTCGTCTCCACCTGATTAGATACGTATTATCCATAGTGACAACAGATAAAGACACTATATGAATAGCTTGAATTTATAAAAATGGGAAAGTCAGAATTTGAAGCTCTGAGGTCTACTACCTTCCCAGACTATGTGTGTCCAATGCACTGCAGTACCGTGCCCCTAAGAATGTAGGAGAAACACTTATTACTAAGCCCAGAACACGCACCAGGCACTATGCTTGCTTTTGCTTAATTAATCACTGCACTTGCTAAGTGGTTCTCAAACTTTGCTGAGCATCAGAAGCTCCTGGACGGCTTGTTAAACCGACAGCTGGGCCCCACCTTAGAGCTGAGTCAGCAGGTCTGGGTGGAGCATGAGAATTCATGTTTCTAACAAATTCCCAGGTGATGCTGATGCTGCTGGTCCCCAAGACCACACTTTGAAGACCCTTGTTCTAAAGGTCCAAGTAATGGTGTTTTAAAACAAACCAAAAAAATCTATGTAGCTTCTAATCTTTCCCACGAGAGAGCTGAGAGCCACCTTCTGCAATCTCAACACCTGACACCACGCTCAGGACCAGCAGGGAGACAAGAACTGGGTTTATTCTTTGTTCTCTGCTTCTCCGAAGGAAGTGAAAAGGAAGGTGGTCAGAAAAGAAGGGAGCAGAAGTACTGAAATGTTGTATCCCTGTTGCAAAACAGGATTTATATTTTTCAGCTGTGACCTTACTGGAGTAAGACGCGAACCTCCACTTCCCTACTTGGGAGACAGTTGACAGTCAGGACCCGGACCGTGAGGACACAGGAAAGGATGCGTGTGATGACTGGGGGTGAGCTTTCCTCTGAGAGAGCAGTTGTTCCAACTGTCAGCTGCTCCAGCTGGGGCACCACAGAAACGGGAGCCCATGCTCTGCCTTGTGAAGTAAGCAGCAGCCTTTACACAGGGAAAGGGTGAGCCGCCCTGGGAAGCGCTCTGGGAAGCCTTGCTTACTTTCTGCTCTAGCCCCTGGAGTCCACTGCCCTGGCATCGCAGGCAGGCTGCCGGGGTCCCTTCTCCTAGTACTGCCAGCACTTCTTACACAAAGTGTGTTCTCCTCAGCAACTCGTCGGGTCAGACTTCAGTAGATAATGGACATAGGAACTTCCCAGAGCTGCAAGGGATACTTTCGTAGAAAGGAGCTCCCTCTTCTGAGGGCTTAATTGGGGAGGAGGGTGGGGGGCCTCATTAGAGAGGAAGGCTCAAATGCAGCTCTACCAAGTGAAAGCGAGGCTGGGGCCAGGAGTCACAGCATCAGCTACACACCTAGTATGCATCAAGCCTTTCCATCCTGTTATTGAATCCCCACAACACTCCACGGCATAAAGTATTCTTGCCTCTCAGATGGAGACACTGTGTGCCCAAGGTCATTGCTGGTACAAAGACCCCTAGGCGATTCACACCCAGGTCTGTTTAAGCAGACGCTCACTGTGTACTCGCTGTCAGGCCCTGAGCTGTCACACGGCTCAAAGTTCAGTGAAACTGAAGCTGCAGGTGAAAGGGCCTCATCCGAGCTGGCAGGCCTGGTTTAGTCAGGCACAGTCCCACCCTCCTTGCACTCCTGGTGGCGAGACCCAGTCCCTGCAGTCAGGAAGCACAGGCTTCAGCAACACGCCTGCAATAAGCACGTGAGAACCTGGGAGGCCAAACTGCACAAAAGGGCTGTGAGGGCAGATCAAGGTGTACGGAGGTGCGTGTGCGCACGTGTCTGTGTCAGTCAGGGGGGTGCCGTAGGAAGCAGGCAGCTCTTTCAGAGCACAGCAGTGGGAAAAGGCATCTGAGGCAGGAGGAACAGCACACCATGTGTTCAGGGCAGAGCCCATTTTCCCCCCAATCACTCTGTGAACATTTTATTGGAATCTGCTTTCGGCCAGGTCCTCTGCTAGATACTGCAGATAAGAGTACAAAACTGAACGTGGCCCCTGCCCTCAAGAAGCTAATGGCAGGTGATAAAGTAAGGCAGGGATTATGACAGGGGTCCATGGGACAGTGGAGAGCTCCAAGGGAGAGGTAATGGAGGAAAATTCTCACAAAAGAGATGTCTGAGCTAAGACTTAAAGGATACCATTCGTCAAGCAAATGCAGTGGGAGGAGGGGGTGAGAGAAGAGGATGGGGATTGGAAACATTCCAGGCAATCAGAGCAGTGTGAAGCAAAGGCTTAGAGGCATAAAACACCCTATGAAGTGCAAGAAATCCCAGGTAACTGGCATGACTGGATCACTGAGGGGCTGGGTAGCGGCAGGCAGGACCTAGATCATGCAAAGCCAGACTAAGGAAGTTGAATTTAATATCATGGGAAAAGGGACGGGTGAGGGTGGGGACAGAAGAGTCTCAGGTAGAAGACATGGCCATTCTAGTTTGAATTAAAAAGAAAAAAGGGCCCACACACTCCAGCTGAGGCACAGAAAATATATACAGGGAGTGGCGGCTTGCCCAATCTACGGGTGCCGGGAGCCACTGAAGGCTCCTGGAGCAGAGGAAGAATGGAGGGGTTGGGCTTGCCAGAAGAGTCAGGGAGTCAGATACCTTGGCGAGGTCCTGATACTTGCGCTCTGGAATCACTGGCTTCCAGGGGATGCTGCCCATGTCCGATGGAGGGGGAGTCATGGGCGTAGGGTCCTCGAGGGCATCATCATAGCTGAATGCCCGGCGGTACATCCCAATGGGCAGGGACATCTTGCCTAGAGGCCCACTAGGCTCAAGAGCTATGAACAGAGACACCTGTCAGGATGGGTTCAGCAACTGAACATACTAGTAGCTTTAAATTAATCTGTAGACAGGAAAGCTCTGAAACACTCATTCTGGGACAGAGCAAGAATAGCTTGTTCTGAAATAGCTAATCCATTTAAGGAAAGGTAATAGCACTAATTCCTTCCTTCATGCCTGAATTTTGGATTTTCCACTTAACCCACTCGGTAGCCCAAACCCAATTTATGGATTAGGAAACCAAAGTTCAATTTAAATTTACCTGAGCAAGGTCATAGAATTCAAAGTGCCGTCTGGAATCAAAATCCAAACTTGTCAGATTTCAAAGCTTATGTTCTTTATGCCACAGAAGCCACCCCCATGGCAATGCCAAGGCTCTCAACTCATGTAAGACTGAAGATATGAAGTTCTTGTTCCCATTTTATAGATGAGGAAGTTAAGGCCTAGGGATCAAGTGATTTGCCCAAGTTCATACAGAAAGCAGCCAGCTGGGGCTCAACTACCTTCCCTACCTCCCCAAAGAAAACACAAGCACTACCGCAGGGTACCATTGAAACAACATGCTATCCGGCATCATCTCTAGTGTCTGACTGATTGAAACAGCAGAGCCAATTTCCATCACAGAGGCTGCTGACAACAACTCATAAAACACTCCCAGCTGACCTGCCGTTCCTGTCCACTGTAACTGACTGGGGGAAGGGCCTGTTCTGACGCAGGTGCCCACTTCAAGGGCACTCTCAGCTCTGCCGGACCAGAGAGCAAAGTTCATTTTGTTTGTTTGCTAATCCCTTCTCAGCGGAGCTAATGTTCAGATCCTGCCTTCAGATCCAGCGTGACATTTTCCTGTTGCTAAAATTATAAAATCACCGTCTCCAAGACATCAACTTTCATGGCAGTAAGTCCAAAACCAGCAAAGATACTTCATTTAAATAGCAAGGGGACCAAGCAGCTACCATGATTATTAATAACAATAATAATTACTAACAAGTCCACACACATAGAGAATTAGTGGTTGCCAGGGTCTGGGGAGGGGGGGATGAGGAGTGATTGACTGCTAATGGGTACAAGGCTTTCTTTTTGGGGTGAAGAAAATGTTCTGGAATTGGACAGTGGTGATGGTTTCACAACCTTGTGAATATACTAAAAACCACTAAATTGTTCACTTTAAAGGGAGCATTTTATGGTATGTGAATTATCTCAAATAGAACAAACACACAAGCAAATAATTACCAAGTACTCTTCCTCACCAAGCACTTACATCCCTCATCTTACCTAATCTTCATTATACAGATATTCTTCCCATTTTCCAGCTCAGGAAACTGAGACGTAGACCTTAAGTGACACCCACCTCGCAAGTGTAGGGTGGGGAGTGGAACACAGGTCAAAGCCACTGCTTGCACTCGACATGCAACACTCCAGGCTCCGCACACTACAAAGCATTGACCTAACAACGCAACCCTATGGGCTGGTGGTCACAGGGAATGCATGGTAATCACAACAAGGAAAGACGAACTAAAACACACGCTAAGGATGGCAGAGACCAGAGATGGATCCACATCGGGAGACACGGGGAGACTCCTAGTAATCCACCTAATTTGGGAGGAATCTCAAAAACATCTTATAGACTCCTCCCAACAGCCATCCCAATAGCCTTCCTAAAAATAATAATAACGTCAGCTAACATCTACTAGGAGACATATTCCTACAAATAGAAACCAAAATTTTTTCTCGGCAATAAATGTATATTCATCACTAACTTTTAACTCACATTTTCACCTATTTTATGTTTAATCTTCACAGCAACCCTGAGAGATAAACAGTATCTCTTTACTGAGAATCTAAAATTGACTGATTCAGATTTGATTAAAAATCACTAAAACAGTCCTAAGAGGGATCAATGACTTCAGTAACCCAGAAATTATTGCCCTATACAGACCCAGGACTCATTAAATGCTGCTGTGAGCATTTTCATGACTGCTTAAGTTGAATCTGCCTTTAAATCAGGCTGGTGTCTTTTTGCCCAGACCTCCATTCACCTCCTACCCCTCCCTGCAAAAGGGGGATGAGTTTAATCATCTTGGTACATACTACAAGAACTACACAACTTATTCTGAATTCTTACTTGATACCTGTAGGAAAGTGACAAACTTGTCATACCCTTAAGTGAAATGACTATTCTCTTTCAAGTTAGGATTTGGGTTCATACCCTGGCTGCATGGTTATTAAGACAATATTTACATGATGCCAATCCATTAAATCTAAATACTCGCCTGGTGCCAGAGAGTAACCTTTAATATATGGTTCAGAAAAAGTGGTTTCTGTCTAGCTTAAAACACGAAGGGCAAAACATGACTTTACCAAAAAGAATTAAGTTTACCAGGCACTTCTGGTTGTCTCGAAGCCATTGAAAGATTGGGATCCAGGTGCTTTTTCTATACAGAATTCCAGGTTGAGTCCCTGCCACCTAATAAAAATAACAAAGGGCATTTTCTTACAGTGAACATCAAAGAATAGCTCCAATGCTGTTCTTCTGACAGGCACACAAAGCTTTATGGAGGTTGAAACACACATAAAAGAGCCAATGGGTGACAAACACGCCAAAGGAGGAAAAAAACAGTCTCACCACACCTGTGGCTGATCTTAACACCTGTGACATGACAAAAACACTATATGTGGTGAAAATCTCACCTTACCAGTGTGAAATGATGTGACGATTATGCTGACAGACAGTTATTAATGAGGAACATTGTCCAGCTGCTGCACATTAGCAAAGCCGCCTGGGAAGAGTCCAGCCATTCCAGAGGTTCTAAGAACAACAAACAACCAGCATTGGTGCAGCCCTTCAGAGTGTGCCAAACACTTTCCTGTACTTTCATGTATTACCCCTAACAACCTTAAAAAAGAGGGATTATACTTGTTTCATTTTTAAGTAAGTTAGGGTCCAAATAACTTGACTCACAGCAAGGGGCTAAGTACCATAGTGGGTAAATTCATTCTTTGTTGCTAACCCTAACTAATATTTATAAGGGTATTATACAACACTTATCTTTTGCTTTAACCCTTGCAGCAACCCTGCAAAGCAGGCATTATTTATCCCCAATTTAAAGAGAAGGAAACTAAACATCAGAAGATAAGTGATCTGTCCAAGGTCACAGATAAGTGGCCCATCCGCAAGGCAGGTTTCACCCCCACTTTACAGGGGAGTTCAAACAAAGCCCTGAGAAAGCCAAGTTATTTGCTTTTCAACTTGCTACACTGCCCCTCTATCCTGATGGAGCTCAGAGGACAAACTAGTTAGTTCTTCATTAAAGCGCCTCGCAGAAACCAAAGTTCAGCCATCCTCGGGTCCAGCAGATACATCCCTTCCACTTTCCCTTCCCGTTCCCCGTCCCCTCCCCCCTTCTCCGCAGAGCTCCTGCATTTCCTTCACAAGATACAGGGTGCTGCTACCAGGATTTGAAAGGCCAAGTCTGACCCAACCCCCTCTCCCACCCGCGAGGCTCAGAAGGCCTAAGGAGATTAGGGCCGTGGCCTGGCACAAGACGAGGGTTCCCCGAGGGCCAGTAGGAGGCTTGCGAGGTGAGGGCGAGGAGTGGGGGTCCCGGTCTAGGCCGCTCCGATGAAGTCGAGGCGAGGCCCCGGGCGGGGCTGAAGGCATCATCAGAGAGAAGCCCCACTGGGGGACCCCAGAAGGCCGGGCGACAGAGGCAAGGGGCGGTCTGGCCAAGATCTAAGCCTGGGGAAGGGGGAAGGGAGAGGCGTGGAGAGGCCCCAGGCCAGGGCCCGGGTGGAGGGGCAAGGGGCGCACCCCTCGGGATGGGCGGAGGACGCAGCCAGGGAGGCCCAGGCCCGGCCCATCTCGATACCTGTTCTTCCGCCGCCGCGGAGCTGCCTGCGGCCCAAGCTCCAGCACTAAAGAGGCTCCGAGGGCCCACGTCTCCCGAGGGGCTGTGGCGTAGTCGGGACCCGAGCCATGGTGTGAGCAGCGCTTGCTCGTGGCGACAATAAAAGCCCGAGGCACCAACCAAGGAGCACCAACTGCCGAGCCGGCAGCCTTCCTGATAAACCGCCCAAGTCCGCGTCACTTCATGCGAGACTTGGCCAAGGAGGCGCCCGGGGTATGTTGGGAGTTGTAGTCCACGATCGGGAAGGCCCCCAAGACCTTAGCTGCACTGCGGGCTGGGGGTGTCTCAGTTCAGAATGTGGAACCCACCAGCTCCCAGAGGAAAAGCCACCTTTACCACCACTGTGTACCTGGGTCTGTGACAGGTGGAGGGACGATGAAGATGGCATAGTAAGTGACACCCTCCAACCCTTTCATGGAGGTAAAGTTGAGGCTCGGAAAGATGAGAAGTCACTTGACTACTACGAGGTGAAGTGAGCAGGGACCCTCTTCCAGGAACAGCTGGGCTAGCCAGGCTTCATACGAGTAGCAGAGCCAAAAAGGGGAGCGAACCGCACCTGCCTCCCCTAGGTAAGGTGATCCTAGTATCTTCCGTTTCACACTAAGGAAAGTGACGCTTGAAGAGGTGCCAGCTCACATGTCACATCCTGAAGGACTTCTTTTTTCCCTAAAGGGTTTACAAATATGACAAAGCAACAAATTGAGGAAGTAAAAGAAGTTGACAAAAACCAACCCACATTTCTGCCTATGTCCAAAGCTTGCCATCAAGGCTCATCTCAGGTGGCCACAGGGACTCACTGGCAGGACGGAGAGGCTTTCTTCAGGCAACTTGAAACTTGAGTGCTGTTACCAGACCACCACGCTTGAGTGGGCCACGTATGGAAGTCTTTTCTAAATTCTATAACTAGCTTATGAATAACACAATTACACTGCAGTGTGATTTTTGTGTGTGTGTGTTAAAGTGTCATTTTGTTAATTTGGAACTTATAAAATATGCCATAATTGTTTACCTTCTGTGGAAGCAAAGCTGACCCCTTGCCCTCCTCCATCATGGGGAAGGGGCACACCTCACCAAGAGGAGGAAACGGCACTTTGCACCCTTCTGTAAATCAGAAGGCAGGATGATTTTGTTTCATTCTTATCCCCAAATTAATGAAAACTGAAGCCTTTCCTGGAAGTTACTGACTCTCTGACTACAACACCTTTATCCCTGACTTTTGTGGTACTGATGTCAGAAGCTATGGCACGAAGTTGGTGGATAGTAGCCATGTGACAAAATTGCTGTTTTCCACAAAGAACAGACTAACTGTAAACTTTTAACTTGCGCAATCGTATGAGGTTTTCTCCTTTAAATGGGTGTTGTATTTTTTATTTGGGGAGCTTATTCTTTTAAAGCCTGGACTCCCTTAGAAGCCTTCTTTGCAAGTAAACTACTTTTCTAAACGGTCTGCTTGCATAGCAAAGGAGGATTCAGTCAGTCACTGCTGAATCCACAAGGCCCAAGAAGGTTCCACAAGGCCCAAGAAGGGCACTTTTGGAGCTGTTTGACCTCAGGCCATTTTTCACAGCTCCTGGGGTAGATCTCTTGTGGCAGTAGAGGTTCCCCTCCACCCCTTCTTCTGTGTTTTTTTCTGACTCTGGCTTTGGTTCTTAGCTAAGCCTGCTTGGAGTTCTGTGCACAGCCACTTTATTTCTCCAAGGGCGGCAGCATCGTTGGGAAGTTGGTTTTTGAAGTCTGACTGTATGGTTCTTGTCTGGAGACAGATAACAGTTAGGTCTCTGTGTGTGGCCAACCAGAGAATCTGGTTGGTTGCCTTTTTATGTATGTTTACAACATACATTTACCAGGAAACTAATTTCCTAAATGCTTTTGACTCTGAATTGTCTTTTTGTACTTCCTTGGGCATTTCATAGTTTAATAAACATGGAGTCTCAGAAATTGGAATTGATCAGGATCTTTCTTGCATCCAGCCTGGATGCCCCAAATCATCCTGCATTCCTACTTCATGGGGGAGAGGGTAGGGAGCAGGACTGAATTTTGCCCACCTGCCTTCCTCTAGACATCTGCTTTCTCTGGCCAGTCCAAGCCCTCAAAAAGGTCCACTCCTTAGACAGACCTGCCAACGTCCTCACAACTCATCAGCAGACTGGAACTTGGTCATGAGTATGATAGCAAGTGAGGCATTTGCATTTCTGGGGTCTCCAGACTGGGAGATCTGGGAGCCAGCCCCCTATATCATCATAGATGAGGCATTCCACCTAGCAGTGCTCAGGACCTGTCCATTTCCATTGCCCACCCGGCAGCAGAGGAAACTAACACTCTCAAGAGGACTTTGGCAAAGGTACCTCAGCCAAGAAGCGGCGGAGCTGAAATTCAAGGCCAGGACTGACAGCTCAGCTGATTGTTTGGCTGCTGGTGGTCCTTGGCCTCAGCTCCTCCACTTTTAAAATCCAGGGGGCAACAGGGTTGAAGGCACATTCCCAAGGAAGAAACAACTAGAAGTAACATCTCCCTCTAGTGGTGGGGGGAAGGATTTCACTGAAGAAATGAAGGATGCTGGGCTAGAGGGTCAGCTGTCAGGCCGTCCTTAGAGAGGACTTCTCCAGCCTGATATTGTAGATGAAGCAGCTGAGGTACGGAGAACAGGAGCCTGGCCATGTCACACAGCTAGTCTGGAGCAGTTGGTTAGATAGAAAACGTGTTCTTGTGTCTTATTTTGTGTCAGGCACTGTGCTTGGTGCTTGTGATACACTGGGGAGGAAGACCGAGTCCCTGACTGTGTTGGGCTGAATTGTGTCTCCTAAAATTCATATGTTGAAGTCCCAACCCCTGGTGCCTCAGAATGTAACAGTATTTGGAGATAAGGTCTTTAAAGAGATGATTAAGTTAAAATAAGGCTGTTAGGGTGGGACCTAATCCAACTTGACTGGTGTCCATATAAGAAGAGGAAGAGCCCCCAGGGTTGCACAAGCACAGCAGAAAGTCCAGTGAGGACACAGGAGAGGGCAGTGCATACGGCGAGGTGGCCATCTGCAAGCCAAGGAGAGAGGCCTCGAAAGAAAACAAACCTGCCAGCATCTTGATCTTGGACATCTAGCCTCCAGAACTGTGAGAAAATAAATTTCTGTTGTTTAAGCCCCCCCATTTGTGGTACTTTGTTATGGCAGCCTTAGACAGACAATGAAGGAGTGATTGTGAATAATTACGTGTCAGGTGTCATGAAGTGTTAGCACCAGGTGCTGTGTAATAGGGGGCCTGACTCTGGAACATCAGGGGTGGCTGCCCAGAGAAATATGAGTAATAGAGACAAAGAAGTGGGTGGAAGAGGGTGCTCCAGCGGGGCACCAGCAAGGGCAAAGACCCAAAGGCAGGAGAAGGCTTGTGTCTGAGGAACTGGGAGAAAGTAGAGCTGGGGGGTAGCAAGCAGTTACCAGGGTCTTTGAGGTTGGCAGAGCCCCCCACTCCCCAGGTGGTGAGGGGCCATCTCAAGGTGGACAGAGTGTAAACCACTCTGCAGCCGGCCTTTGGTGGGGAGGGGAGGGAAGAGTCAGGAAGGTTTGTTGGAGTGCGCCCTGGTGTGATTTTGTTAGTTAGACTAGGTTTTGTTAGACCAGGTAGGGGTTATCTGGATGGCAGAAATGAGCATAATTAAATGCAGTTGGGAAGATTCAAGCAGAGAGGAAGGTGTGGAAGATGCAGATGAGTGAGGGATTAAGAGCCCTGAGAAGCAGGAAGGGGCACCTGTCATTTGGTCAATTACTTAGGGTCTACGGGCTTTTCAGGGACCCATAAAAAAAAATCTTTGAGTGCTAACAGTAAAATGATTGGCTCCAAAATATTTTTTAAAACCTGCAGAATCAAAATTAATATGTTTAAATATATGCACAACAGATTAATATGTCAACTTCAGTTATGATAATATTTAATTTTCATAAAAACGGCATTGCATGGCCGGCCCCGTGGCTTAGCGGTTAAGTGCACACTCTCCGCTACTGGCGGCCCGGGTTCGGATCCCGGGTTCGGATCCCGGGTGCGCACCGACGCACAGCTTCTCCGGCCATGCTGAGGCCGCGTCCCACATACAGCAACTAGAAGGATGTGCAACTATGACATACAACTATCTACTGGGGCTTTGGGGGGAAAAAAAGGAGGAAGATTGGCAATAGATGTTAGCTCAGAGCAGGTCTTCCTCAGCAAAAAGAGGAGGATTAGCACGGATGTTAGCTCAGGGCTGATCTTCCTCACAAAAAAAAAAAAAAAAACAAAAAAAAAAAAAAACGGCATTGCATTTGAAAACAATTTGGGAGCTAGATTTTTCTCACCTTGAAACAAATCCCCAGTGAGCACCTTAGTGCTCCTAAAAAACCATAGTCAATCACAAATTAGATAAGTTACCTGTAGCTAAATAATTTTAAAGCAAAATTTTTAAAAATTATTTAAAATTTTTACAGCAAAAATATATATTTAACATGGGAAGTGAGTACATTTGAATATTTTTGGTACAGTATTTGGTGGAGCCTTCTAAAGAAAGACTAGGGCGAGAGATCTACAAACCACCCAGGGGTGGGTCCAGAGCGTGGGACATGAGAGGGACCAGCCTGGGAGAGGAGAAGGTTTTCAGGGGTTTGGTGGAGGCAGATTGGCAAGCCCCACTCTGTGAAGTAGGTAATGAGGTTGTCTCTTCTGTCTGTGAGCAGAGAGGGGGAGACGCGTTGGGGGTCAAAGAAAGAGGAAAATGAAAAAGATTTTAAATTGCCGTTTCCAAGAATGGAAGAATAGAAACCGACTGGAAAGTGTGGATGACCCAGTTGAGGGTGGACACCAGGAGAAAATGGTTGTGCCCATCTGCCTAGTTGTGTGTCTTCTGGAGCTTGGTTTAACAACTCGGAAGCAGGCACAGAGAGGGGTTTGCTGGATTCACCCAGGGTTGGGTTCAGTAGAGTGGGTGGGATGAAGGGTCAATGTAGGGGAAGAAGTTAGCATCTTTTGAATGCCTACATCCTGCACAAGAATAGACACTTTTACATACACTGCCTCAGTCATAAGGATCGTGACATCAATTAGGATACATTTGGCTGCAAGCTAAAGAAAAACCCAACTAATAATGGCCTAAGGGTATTTATTGTTTACTTACCAAAGAGTCTGGAGGAAAGCAGACCTAGGA